GCGCTCTTGTTCGAGTTCAGGTCTTGCTTCACAAGTTGCTCAAAGATCCGCCAGACGTCTATCACTCAACACAGCATCACCACGTACGAGGACGCACGCCCGATATACCAAAACCCCTACCACGTGTCGGCTAAAAAACGTGAAGCGATACGTACGCAAGTCAGCGAGATGCTTGGCGATAGCATTATTGATCCATCTAACAGCCCGTGGTCATCTCCAGTCGTACTTGTCAAAAAGAAGGACGGGTCGCTATGCTTCTGCGTCGACTACTGAAAGCTTAACAACGTGACCAAAAAGGACGTGTATCCGCTGCCACGTATCGACGATTCGCTGGATAGACTTCGTCGTGCCCATTATTTCACTTCTCTCTATCTCAAAAGCGGGTATTGGAAAATCGAGGTAGATCAGCGAGACCGTGAGAAAACAGCCTTCGTGACTCCAGACGGCCTACACCAATTTCGAGTGCTCCCTTTTGGCTTGTGTTCAGCGCCGGCAACTTTCCATCGAATGACGGACACTGTCTTCACAGGGCTCAAGTGGCAGACTTGTCTTGTCTACCTTGATGATGTGGTGGTCTTCTCTACCACGTTCGAGCAGCACTTTCACCGCCTGCCCAGCTTGCTGGAGGCTATTCGATCGGTGGACCTCACACTAAAGCCACAGAAGTGCCACTTCGGCTATAAAGAACTAAAATTTCTTGGACATGTAGTTAGCACCGAAGGAATCCGGCCCGATCCGGACAAGCTTGCCGCTGTTGCCGAATTACCAGCTCCTGTCGATAAGAAAGCCGTCCGGCGCTTCCTTGGTTTGTGCGCCTATTATCGCCGGTTCATTCATGGCTTTTCACAGATAGCAGAACCTCTGACTCGTCTCACAAGGCGCGACATGCCGTTTGTCTGGGAAAGCGAGCAACAAGCAGCTTTTGATGAGCTGCGACAGTGCATGCAATCAGCGCCCATTCTCGCTCATTTCGATGATGATGCTGACACCGAGGTCCATACCGGCGCTAGTAACATTGGGCTCGGTGCAGTGCTCGTTCAGCGTCAAGAGGACACCGAAAGAGTCATAGCCTACGCCAGCCGCTCTCTATTCCGTGCCGAGGCGAATTATTCCACTACGGAGAAAGAGTGCCTCGCAGTCGTGTGGGCAATCACCAAGTTTCGTCCGTACCTTTATGGTCGTCCCTTCAAGATAGTGACGGACCATCACGCGCTCTGTTGGTTGGCAAGCCTGCGTGACCCTTCAAGACGGCTAGCACGGTGGAGCTTGCGGCTGCAGGAATCTGATGTTACCATCGTCCGGCCGTAAGCATGAAGACGCTGACACACAGTCACGTGCACCCCTTCATGTCGTCAGTCAGGAAGCAGAGGAAGACGAAGGCTTCCTGGGCGCTGTTAGCGCATCAGACTTGAGCAAACGGCAGCGAGATGACGCAGAGATTCGTCCAATCATTGATCATTTAGAGGGCCAGGGAGCTATCATACCACGTCATTTATCCCGCTCGTTGACGTCGTTCTGCCTGCGAGACGGTGTGCTGTACAAGAAAAACGCTCGTTCGAACAACCGTGCTTACCTCCTGGTGGTTCCTCGAGACATGCGAGACGACGTCCTCTTCGCTTGCCATGACGAACCCACATCCGGTCATCTGGGCTACTCAAGGACACTTGCTAGAGTGAGCGAGAGGTACTATTGGCCAGGACTTTCAGCAAGCATCAAGAAATACGTCAAGAGCTGTCGGGAATGTCAGCGCCGAAAGCAACCATCTGTTAAGCCAGCTGGTTTGCTTCAGCCCATCGAAGCGCCCTGCATGCCGTTCGACCAAGTCGGCATGGACATTCTCGGGCCATTTCCCCTGTCTGCGGACAACAACAAATGGGTGATCATCGCGACCGACTATTTGACACGCTACGCTGAGACTGCAGGCGATCCCACGAGCCACGGCTGCTGAGGTAGCACAATTTTTGATGCGCCACATCGTGTTACGACACGGTGCTCCTTCCAGTGTAATAACGGACAGAGGGACGGCATTCACGGCGCAGCTTACGGACGAAGTTTTCAAACTGAGCAACACCAGACACCGAAGGACAACTGCGTACCACCCGCAAACCAACGGACTTACCGAGCGACTGAATAAGACCCTCGCAGACATGATCTCAATGTACATCGATGTACAGCACGAAACATGGGACCAGATCTTACCTTACGTGACCTTCGCGCATAATACCGCCGTGCAAGAGACCACGCGATTCACGCCATTTCGGCTTCTCTACAGCCGCGAAGTACAGACCATGCTAGACTCTATGCTACCGTGTCAAGACGAAGACGAGTTGGCAACTGACGCCGAAGAATTCGCAGAGCGTGCTGAGGAAGCCCGGCAACTCGCGCGACTGCACATCGGCCAGCAACAACAGGCAAACGCACGACGCTATAACACCCGCCACAAAGAAGTGTTTTACAACCCCGGAGATCAAACTTGGGTGTGGACGCCCATCCGCCGCCGTGGCCTTAGTGAAAAATTACTGAGCCGGTACTTTAGCCCATATAAAGTGTTACGCCGCGTCAGTGACGTGAACTACGAAGTGGTTCCGAACTCAACACCCCATGCACAAGTAGGACACAACTGAGGCTGGACGTCGTTCATGTGTTGCACATGAAACCATTCATTGCGCGTTGCTCGTAACTTTTCCTTTACCGTACAGCATTCTTTGTGTTTTTTGTTCATTTGTGTGAACTTGCTTTCTCGTTCATGGACGTTTCTTATATTGCATGCTCTTCAATTTTTACTTTCACTTTATCCAAATTTCCAATTTCTTTTTCACGTGCCTATGTAGTAGCATTGCGGTGCTGCTATGCACTTTTCTTTCCTCGTTTTGGGACTTTTTTTTTTTCTTTTTGGAAGGGGGGATAATGCCACCAGCACGTAGTGGGTCGACAGCAAGAGCGGTTCTCAATCTGGAGGAAAAAGAAGATCCCGTGCTTCTTCTTTGCTGGAGAGCCAGCCACGACTGACGCATCTCCTAGAGATTGCTACCTGGTTGTTTAATAAATCCCCCAGCACTTGTGACTAATCGTGACAATATAAATTGCTGTTATGGCTAAAATATCAATTTAAGACTTGAAAAAGTTTGGCAGTACTAGCAGTCATGCTTGTGTGTTACAAAAATGCATTCTGAAAAATTTATTTTTAAAGATTTACCACTTTAAAGGACCAGTGCGTTCCCTTAAGAGAACATCACAGTAAAAAAACACATTTTTTTGTAAAATTAAACACTTTTTTTGTTTTTATTTGTTTTCAGAAGTTCAATTTCTCTAACAAACTGGAAATTGTAATTACCTAAACACAAAGTAGGTTGAAATCCCTTTTTAAAGAGCACAAGGTGACTACTAAAAGCCTGAAGAGCTCACTCAGGGTTATCGCTCATTTCTATGACAAGAATTCAAGAATTCTATAGTGCTTTCAAGGCTTTGCATACGCATTTTCAAGGACCACATTGTCTGTTACAAAGTCAATTAACCAATGTCAGGGGAGGATAAAAGCTTGAAAAAACTGAAATTCATCAAAAAAGGGCAACGTCACTGGAGCAGACGTCAAAAACATGGCTCCAATGACATTTTCTTTCTAGACAATTTTCAATCATATTTTCTTAAAGTTGCATAGATAATCACTTGAAGTATGACACAAGTTACAAACTTTTACACAGGTAGGAACAACTAAGGAACAGTTATTATGCAATGCCTTGTAGCTTTTCCTGAATTTTCAGACCAATATCCACTATCTCCTGCTCTTCGGTCTCTGCAGCCTTCTTAAGGCTGTTCGACTTGATGATGCACGTTAGGTTACCGATTGTCTCTTATTTTTCTGCGCATGAGTCGGCTGTATTTGTTTATTCCTTAACAGCGGCTTCTAGTTTCTTTTCCTTTTTTGAAAACATTTCGACCACCTCCTCAATGCAACATTCTTTTTTCTGTTTCTCATCCTCCCGCTCCAGCCTTTCTTCAGTTTCCCGAAGTGCACAGTGTTGGTTCTGTGCAGAAGCTACTAATGTTTTCAATTCTTTTATAATGGGCAAATTACATATAATGCCTGCTGAATTTACGGGCATCGCAAATAATGAGCTGTGAAATATGCGACAATATCTATATTAAAAATAAACAGGAATTCAAGCATTTTCAAGGATTCGCAAAATTCTAGCACTTTCAAAGCCTTGAAAACGAACTTTTCAAATTCAAAGCTTTTCAGTGATTTTAAGGACACGCATGAACCTTGTCAGTGTCTAGAGTACCCTGGAAATTGTCACCATGGCTGCTTGCCATTGCATTTCGCATGAGTTCACTAAAGCCACATGCTCAAAATAACCATGATTGCCAAGCTCTAAATCCTCTTGAAAACATATCCTTTCCGCATAGATGAGCTGTCACTTATGCCACTAAAGTGCTTTTTTTTTTCATATGCATTTTTGGGAACTTACTAAAAAACTAGTAATTACATATTTGAAATCATCATGAAAGCCCACATATTACCTCTTGCTTGTATTAGTAGGTCTTAAGGAAAGGAACAGACCACACATGACTCCACTCAGGCGAGCAAGCCCGACCGATGCGCTTGTTAAGAGCCCTGTTGCTCAGCCTTCAATACACGTTCTCTAGACCTCCGGAGTGACATCACTGTCCTAGGCTACAGAATAATGCAAATTTTTTTCGAAGTGCATCTCATCTTAAAAGCTTTGGCTTCAGCTCACACACTTAGCCAGAAGCCAGCTGCAGTCATCAAACATTTGGCTTTTAAGTGGCTGCTTTAGTTCTTACACCAAGGTTTCAAAAACCAACCAGAGACTGAATATGTACAAGATTTCTCACCACAGCTTCCAAATATTTGCACAGTGCAACCCAGGTGCAAGAGACATTCTGTTATGCCTCCATAATAGACAAACAATCAGCCAAGCACTGAACAGAGGTACGAATGCATCGACTCGTTATCGACTGTAAAGTAAACAGCGTACCAGCAAAGGTAGCTGCCCCTTGTTGCAGCGACTGGAGCAGGCCACGAGGGCAAGCGAATATGCGGGCCACCTCTGCCAGGGGTCGTTCAGAAGCCAGCAGCTCCAGGGCAAGCGCCAGGTAGAAACGGCGACAACCGTCCAGGAGGCGACCGGGAGGTGGGGCTCGGCCCGCGGCCGCCCGGGCCACGCATGCTTCGTCGACGCCCACCAGGCCCGCAACACGTCGTTGGGCAGCGGACAGGCGCTCCCACAGTCTCTGGTAGCGGCCCCAGTCTAACGAGCCTAGCTGCAAGAGGCACACATGAATTAGAGTAGCGGCCCTGCATCATCCTAGAGCCGGGGTGCTCAATCTTACTGGCCTGGTTCAAGACCTCCTATGTCTTAAGTTTGCAAAACTGGACGTAAATTGGGTTGTCCAGCACTGTTAAACATGGCTTAGGACTGATAAGCAGTTATGTAGTATTATACAGTGCTAAAACAGTGTGATGGAATACCTTCTAAGAAATAGCGCATCAGCCTAGCATGCAAGAGGTCCATGGTTCGAATGCCGGTGCCGGACAATTTTCAGCCGTATATTCAATTATAACGCTAGATGAGACAACCATCAAAAAAGAAAAAAATGGTCTGGGGTGCAGCCTCACTGGCAACCACCTGCTGGATATGCACTCCCTCACCAGAGCAGAATTAGCCCCCTGGTGCAGTACTTGGCCACCATATTCCATGAAATTATCAATTAGCCCTCGCCTCTCAGTTCCCAGCGGCTGCAAACAAACTGTCCAAGGCGGCAGTCAGAACTGTGACACAGCAGAGGGTGCTAAGAATCTCTGGGTCCAGACAGGCCACTATTGGAATGTGAAATTGGCTACATTTAATGCTAGAATGCTATCATTGAAGCTAGTCTAGCTACGCTATTCCAGGAATCAGAGGGTGTGAAATAGGATGTAATACAGTTCAGCGAAGTAAGGACACGTGAGGTTTATACAGTGCTGAAGAATGGACACCTCCTATGCTATTGTGGATTAGTTGACAGAATAGAACTAGGGGTCGGGTTTCTTAGACACAAGAATATTGCTGGCAACATAGAGGAATACTATAGCATCAGTGAGAAGGTGGCAACTATCGTAATAAAGTTTAACAAAAGGTACAAGATGAAGGTGGTACAAGCCTATGCGCCTACATCGAGCCATGATGATCATATAGTTGAATTCTTCTATGAAGACGTAGTCAGCAATTATTAAAGTACAGACACAGTATACTATTCTGATGGGTGACTTTATTGTCAAAGTAGGCAAAAGACAGGCCGGAGACCATGCAGAGGGAGAATATGGCATTGGCTCCAGGAATGCCAGAGGGGAGTTAATAGTGCCCACAGAACATAACAATCTACGGATCTTGAATACCTTCTACAGAAAACCAGCTATCCGTAAGTGGGCATAGTAGAGTCCAAATGGCAAAGCTAAAAATGAAATAGACTTCATTTTGTTGCACACCCAGGCAATCTACAGGGTGTAGAAGTAGTTGGCAAGATCCAATGCAGTGACCATAGATCGGTAAGAGCTCGAATTCAACAAGACCTAAAAAAGTCACAGCTTTGCCGCAATGGCAAAGCAATGAACGTGATAGCAGCAAATTGAAAGGTCACGCACAGAATGAAAAATAGATTAAAATGTGCCCTGCGTTTCTCACGCACAAATGACGCATGAAACGTACTCATAGATACAAATGCACACAAATAAGCGTCTCAGTTGTTACTTCACTGTGTCTGAAAAGCGCGAGCTTTTCGCAAACGGAGACTCCAATGATTGCAGTGACTTTTGTGCGCTTGGTGACTACAGCAGAATCGTTCCAGGTAAAGCCAGAGGCCAGCGAAAACGTACGATCCTCCCCTTTTCTCGTATGGGAGATAAGGGCACACGAGGGAGCGTCGCTCCTCTTTTCTAAGCGGGGAAAAGCATGCGTGAGATATTAGAGCGCACGATCGTGCGATGTGGCGACGCACACTTGTTGCACCATCTTGCTGGTAGTGATGAAAACACAATTCCCCCCCGAGATGCTCGTGAGCAGCAGTAAGTGGATAGCTTGCCGTTTTAACGTTGAAGGACGTGCTCCAGGGTGGATCAGTGGTTAACACCTCGCTTTCACGATGCAGAGGTCCCATGTTCAATTCTGTGTGCAGGAGTGTTTTCTGTTGTTTTTTTTTTTCCTTTCTTGTATTATCGTATATATAGATACGTATACATATACAGTGAGTGACGGCGACGCCGACGTCAACGCCAGTAGCAAAACTTTAAATCCAGCCGAGAGTGTCCATATAATCGGTATTACAATAAAAAGCACAGGCGTAAACTGATACACAAGAAGCCAGTCAATGAGCTAGTGGTGAGAGCGATTACAGGAATTCAAAGTTTCTATTCAGAATAGATTCAAGCACCAAACAGGGTGACCGATGTTCGCATAGACACCATGAATGATAACCTTACTACTATCATCAAAGTGTGTGCAATGGAAGTCGGAAGTACAGTCACTGGCAAACTATCCTAAGAGACAAAAAATCGCGTTAAGAGATGACAAACCATGCAATCCTCAAGTGCAACAGACAAAATAGAGCTAGCAAGACTTTCGAAGTTAATCAATAGACATAACCTAGGCAAGATCAGAAGGTTAGTATGACAGAATCGAACAGAGGGTAAAAAGCAAAAAAAAAGCCTGAAAGCTGCAAAGGCAAGCTTGTGTATAGGCAAAAATCGGTTGTATGCATTAAAAGACAAGGAAGGCAAAGTCACAACCAATATAAATAAGGTAGTTGAGGTGGCGGAGGAGTTCTATAGAGAGCTGTACAGAAGCCAAAACAACCAGAATGTCGTCGTAAGAAGCAACAATATCCTAGAGGAATTCGACATCCTACCAGTAACGACAGGGAAAGTAATGAAAGCTCAAGAAGGAATGCAAAGAGGCAAAGTTGCTGGTGAGGATAGGGTAACAACAGACCTGCTGAAAGATGGAAGAGAAATCATGTTAGAAAAACTTGCCAGCTTATCTACGACGTGTCTCTTTACGAAAAGGGTACCAGAATCTTGGAAGAGCACCAACACCGTCTTAATCCATAAGAAAGGAGATGTCAAGGACCTGAAAAATTACAGGCCGATCTGCTGTTTTTTTTTTTTTTCTAGAAGTTCTTACAAATATTATAAATAATAGAATTGAGGTGACGTCAGAATTCAATTAACCAAAGACCAAATAAAATTTCGTACAGGACCATAGTCATACTATAAATCAGGTGATAGTACAACCAACCACAGTACATAGCCTTCATAAATTACGAGAAAGCGTTTGACTCGGTCAAGACATCAGCAGTGATGCAGGCACTACGGAATCAGGGCATCAACGAATCCTACATGAACATATTGGACGAAATCTACAGCGGATTCACACCTACAATAATCCTCCATAAAGAAAGCAGCAGAATCCCAATAAAGGGGAGTGTAAGGCAGAGATACACAATCTCTCCAATGCTATTCACCGCGTGTTTACAGGAGGTTTTCAGGGCTCCTGGATTGGAAAGAGTTAGAGATAAGAGTAAATGGAGAGTATCTTAGTAACCTGCGATTTGCTGATGACATTGCCTTGATGAGTAAATGAGGGGACGAATTACAGCTCATGATTACTGAACTGGACACAGAAAGCTGAAAAGTGGGCCTGGAAATTAATATGCATAAAACCACGGAGTAAGATAACAAAGGAGTGCCGACTCTGCTTGTCTGGAAGGAACACGTCTTGCAACGCCGCTTCATTCTTCACGGTTCGTCTGCCAGGTGGCTCTACAAATGGAGGAAAGTGGCAGAGGAGAGGCGCTGCCCCCAAGCAGAGTCGCGGGTAGAGGCTCCGTCCGTCATTGCTAGAGCAACGGCACGGACGCACGCTTGGCCGCATTAGTGGGTCTGCTCCCCTATCCGTTTTGACGTCTGCTTCGTGCATGCCTTACGTCTGCTACAAATTCTTTCCTGAAAAGAGCGTGACTAATGCAGTTTGCGGATCGACGTTATGAGAAGAAATAACCCAAATGTATCTCTTTTATTCAAAACAGGCCAAATGCCTGACATCTTTAACGTGGACCACTTAGAATTATACAATGGTGCAACAACATACATAAACATAATATATACATAAACTTCATACATGAGGTAACATTTAAAAAAGTGAGCTTCGATCTGGGCACAGAGAGTTTCTGTTGTCGCTTATAGCAGTAGAGCTACTTGCGCTGCTTTCTGCCGCACATTGTTCGTGGGAAGGCGCACTCAAGCTCTTGTCTTTTCTTGGGTCCTTGGCACACGACCAACTGAAGAAGTCCTTTCCTAGGCAAGGCTGAGAATTTTCATTATCTGGGCAAAGAAAGGCGCCCACTCTATATGTGGTTGCAGACAAATTGATGTCTTCTCGCTCCTCGGTACCGTGTCTGTTGATTCCTCCTAATATTCAGCTTCGCTGAGTTGAGCCCCGCTTACCCAAAAGATGGAACGAATTTCTCCTTTAGAAGTCGAGACACTTCATTTACGTCTAGTAGAACGTTTCCTCTGTGTTCGCTGAAGCGCCTATCAAAGATGAGGTGCTTCTCAAAGTGTCGAGCCCATATTTCGTTTTTCGATTTCAGGTGTCGCATACTCAAGGGTACCGTAATTACTCGAATCTAACGCGCACCTTTTTTCCGGTTAAACGAATTCATAAATCACATGCACGTTAGAATCGAGGGCGAAAAAAAAAAAAAATTAATACGGTCATTCTATTGTCATCGGCATTTCCGAAATGGTCGCCCCCAACATGCGTCAGCATGGCATGTCGGCGATTTCTGCCTATGTGTTTCCCATGTGCGGCACTTCGTACCGTGCTGAGGAGTTCATCATCTTGTAGTGCATTAGCATCGACGGCATGGAAAGGCCGACTCCAAAAACTCGACGAGTGCACCATGATGCCGCTTTTAAAAGAAAAGTCATCGCGTGTGCCGAAACGGACGGAAATCGGGCCGCATCGCGGTCGTTCGGAGTTCCCAAAACGTGTGTGCGAGACTGGCGGAAACAAAAGCAGAATACTGTCGACAGCGAAGATTTACGCAAAGGCTTCAGTGGACCACAGCAGGGTCGGTTTCCGCAAAGAAGAGCTGCTCGGCGAGTATGTGATTGAGCAGTGAGCGGCACAGCGGCCCGAGACGACAGAACTGCTCCAAGTGCAGGCTATGCAGTTAGCCTTAGAAAAAGGGCTAATGCAGAGCCAGTTCAAAGCGAGCAGGTGTTG